TGCTCTGAAATGAACTGGGTTGGTCATCTGCTAAAACAAAAAACTCAGCATTATGTAGGGAATTCGAACATCACTCAGGGAGTCCACAACATACTGTGCTCATTTTCAGCTTCTTTCACTCAGCAGGAGTTTGAGACTCTTCCATGTCGTTGGGGGTATCAGGAGTTCATTAGTTTTTATTGCTGAGTAGTATCCCATTGTACATACAGTTAACCCAGACATCACGAGTTTGAACTGTGCAGGGCAGGTCCACTTAATATGTGGATTTCAGTAAACACCTGTATTGTTTTTGATCCGTGGTTGGGAGTCCTTGGGTGTGGAGGGCCCGCTGTACGCATTATCTGCGCCATTTTACCTAGGGGAACTTGAGCATCTGCAGATTATGGTACCTGCAGAGAGTCCTGGAACCAATCCCCTGCCGATACCGAGGGACGACTAAGTTTTGAAGGAGTCAAAAGTTATATGTGGGTTTTTGACTGTGGAAAGGGTGGGCACCCCTAACCCCCACATTGTTCAAGGGTCAACTGTACTACATTTTGATTGTCGTTTCAATTTTTGATGACTATTTGGATTATTCAAGTTTTCAGCTTTGTGAATAAAGTTGCTGTCAACATATGTGTACAAGTCTTTGTCTGGATATGTCTTCATTTATTTTGGTTAAACACATAGGAATGGAATGGCTGACATATGGTCATTATATGTTTAACTTTTCAGGAAACTGGTAGTTTTCCCACCACCAGTTTTCAGGAGCTCCATTTGACCACATCTTCATTAACACTTGGCATTGTCAACCAATGTTTACAATTTTAAGCATTCTATGAGCATGTAGTAGCACTTACTTTTGGTTTTAACTCACACATCCTTGATGAATAATGATATTGAACATCTTTTCTTGTCCTTACTAGTCATTCGTATTATCTTCTTCTGTGAAGTGTCCAGATATTCTGCCTATTTTTTTTTAAATTGGGGAATTGGGGGGATGGGAACAGTGCTGGGGAGTTAGGGGAAGGGGAACAGACAAGTTGCTGTCCTTTAGTTCTTCAGTCTAGTTGTGGAGGACGTTGCTTCACTGGCCCAAGTTGGCACCATCATTGCGCTCTTCCCAGGCGAGGCAGATCAGTCACCGGCTTCTGGAAGGTCACTCACGACGGCTGCTGGCCGCTCACGCTGGCTGCTGGCTACACACGGCAGCCCATGGCAACCCACTGCCACAGGGGCTGCAGCCTACGCCATCACCTGTGACTCACGGCAGCCCAGCTCCAGGTTGAGCTGTTGTTCAGCACCTTAGCTGTAGAGGGCACTGTCACTGGCCCTCATATGTGGGATCCGAACTGGGGCCCTCTGGCGTCCCAAGCCAGTTCTTAACCATAGCGCCACTCAGCCGTCCCTATTCTGCCTATTTTTAACTGAGCTGTTTGTCTTCTTATTACTGAGTTGTAAGATTTCTTTTATATTTTAGATACAATTTCTCAGAAATATTTGTGAATATTTTCTCCCATTTTTTTTTTGCTTGCCTTACTTTTGTTGCTTTTCAATAGTGTCTTTGAAAGAGCAAAAGTTTTGAATTTTGGTGAAATCTAGTGTATCAACTTTAATTGATTTTTAATTTCGGTTCACTGCATTGTGATAAAAAATATGTGTTCTCTGTCATGTCAAGTTTTAGAAATATACTGGGTGTTTCCCTATGGTCTTCTGAGTCTTATAACTGTTCCATGAGAGTAGAAATTTAATGTGTTGTATTTAAAGGGTAGAAAGTAGAAATATAGCCATTTTATAAAATGTTATTTAGAACTCTTATTTGTTTGTTTGTTTTTTCCCTCTGATCTGTCAAAGATGGAGAAAATATATTAAAGAACCCCAGGGCTATTTATGTCAATTTCTTTATGTATTCCTAATATATTTTCATATTTGATTAAGTACTCTTGCCTGTAGCATGCAAAAATATATCATTTATCCAGTTCATTGACTTGTACTGATGTTGATTTGTGTGACTGTATTACATTCTTTTCAAATACAAGTGATATATTTTCATCATCTTTTTAATAAATTGTTGTGTAACTTTTAGTTGTGCCTTTTAAAAATAGCATACACATGGATTTCTGTCAGCTAATCTATGCCTTTTTTACTAGAAAATTTAACCTATTAATATTTATTATGACAATTATATACTGTGTCTTATTTTGGACATTTTGTTCTGTTTCTGCTTTTGTTCTCTTGGCAATATCTCCTCTCAAGTTTTGCTGTTATCTTCTCAAGATTTTTATGAGACTGTAATATCTTGTTAATTTTATTAATGCCTATGTTTATATATTTCAAAGTTATTTTAAACTACATTTCCGTAATTTTAAGAATCTTTTGAGTCTCAATTCTTCATGGCAGAGTTTTAGCATGCTGTGTTCTTCTTACTCTCTCATTATCCACCTGCTTCTTGATCTTTGTTAATGTAGTCTACGGATTTAAATGTAACTTGTTATTAAATTCATGTTTTCTACTTTATATACCTTTTTTTTCAAGAGTCAAAAACATTAGCATTCTATCTTATAACTAGATTTGTAACAGTTAAATTTGCTTCTTCTTTGTTGGGTTCCATTGTTCTCATCCTTTAATATGATGGTTTCCCCATGTGTGGGCTGTCTTTTACTTCTTCTCTGGATTGACTGATGTGCTCACATAATTTTTTTCCAGAAAATAAATAAATGGTAAACATTACGTGAGCTCTTAGTAAGAAAATGATTTTCTGTCGATTTTGCAAGTAAAAAACTCCTCGATTATGTATAAAATTAGGCCATACCCTTTATCCTTCAATACTCTGAAGCTTTACTCCATTATTTTTCTAAGTTTTTTTGCCAGTTTCATCCTGACAAGAAACTTGTAAGATTTTCATTTTATTCTTACCTCTATTTGAGGTTCAGTTCTTTTTCCAGAATATATCCAGGTTTCATTGCATTAATTTTACTTGATATGTGGCCCTTTCCTAAAGATCATGTCTTCTTATAAAGGTACTACTTCTCCGATTTTTTTTCCTGAATTATACAGTAGATCATTGTCAGAAGTATGCTTTTCTTCTGTGACTGCTGGATACAAATGTCTTTCTCTTGTCCTACTGAATGTTTTCACAAGTCACATTGTTGTTTGCTTGTTTTTCCTCCTTCCTTACCCATGAATTCTGTGATCTGTTAATATTGCATCATCAGCCCCAAGAGGTGCATTTCCTGAGCCAAGGGTGCCTGTCATAGTGTCCGCTTTTCTCAGAAAGTTATACTGTCAGCCTTAGCACATTCCAAGCCCTCATTTTTTAGCCTTCTTAATTGTATACTGCAAACTTCTCGCCAGGGTCCCCTCCTTCAGTATTTCCTGTATCCCTTTGAATGTTAAGCCGATCAGAGAGTTCCCTATGCAGCTCCATTGCACATCCATTGCAGGGCCTGTGCTCTGATCATAGAGAGGAGCTGGGAAGAGACGCACATCCATGTAGCAGGGATTGAAAGTCACCTTCCAGCACAAACTCTCAACAATAACCTAGCTTTTGCCCTAGGCAGTGAATGGAGAAACAAAGACAAGGTATCTCAGACCCTGCTCTCAGGACCCAACTTCACACAATTCAATATGAGTGCAAATCCGAATCAAGAAAACACAGTTCCAAGCTAGTAAACCACAGGGCTCAGTCCTAAGCCTTCTAGAAAAATGTTTCTGCAGCCCAGTGTGTGCTTGGGACTCCAGCTAAACATGAGATCACAAACAAGGACTGCTGCATTCTTTATAATCAAGAAAACTTGAACATAAACTAAATACCCTTGAATAGGGGAGCTGATAAAAAAAATATAGTATATTCACATGATAAAATATATTCAGTATTAAAAGAATTGTACTAAATCAACACGGATAGGGCACCAATATATAAAATTAAATATAAAAGAGAAAATAAGACTAACACATAAAATCTGTAGTATTTATTTAACTTAAAAAAATAGAAGCATAAAAAATGCATATAACATACATGAACATGATATATATACAGAAAATAATAAAACAGACTGGAATAATACACATTAAATTAGTTCTAGCGGTTTCTCTCAGAAGTGGAGAGGAGAGAGTAATGTGATTAGACACGAATAACAAAGCAAATTAAAACGTCATCTGTAATGTTTTAGTTTAAGTAAACAGTGCTAACAATTGTTGATTCTTCTTGATGGGTACCTTGGTGTTTGTTCCCTTTATTCTTTTACAAATTTTCTATTTTCCCTTAAAACTAAAAACCATACCACTTAACTTGTACAAGAACTGGAGACAGCCCCTGTCTTCCTGAACTGCCGGTTGAAAATAATTTGCTGTAACTGATCAATAAAACACTGTTTATGGAACATGAACAAACACAGACATGGTTAACTTGCATCTGCTCTACAGGCCGTGAGTGCTCGTGGGATTTTACCTGTTGGCTGTGCCATGCTCCCCTGGTAGATACACTCCTGCCATGACTACATTTGGAGATGAAACTTTACAATGATTATTCTGGCATTAATTTAAGGCGGAATCAAGGGCTCCTGAAGGAGGAAAGAGAACCCATCTCCTTGTCTGCAGAGCTCCAGGCAGTTCTCCCTCCACCTCCCTCCACTCGCTGCCACCAGGAGCTGCTGATCAGCGCACAACCAGTGACCAGGACAAGCAAGGAGCCCACATGGCAGAGCCCACAGCTAGCCCCCTTTCCCTTCCCATGTTCTGCGGCGGACAGGGGAGCCTGCAGGCTGACCCCTGTCCACCAGGGCCCTTGCTCTTGGCCACTGGGGGGCACCTCCTCCGTCGAGGCTGTGATGGAGGTGAGTGTCTTCCTCCTACAAGGACAACAGCCCTTTCTCATTCACAATTCCTGACCCAAGAGTATGGCTAATTTGGTAAGGCTTTTTTTTTTTTTAAAGTAAATGCGTTTCTGTCTTATTTAAGATCAGTAGGTACCTTCCTACTGAGAGTGACTTTCAGAAAGGATGGTATGGTGGCCTCCTCACCTGCTCTTTCATTTCGGTGTAGACTTGCTCTGAGTTCAGCTCCACCTGCCGCTTAAACTCTTCCAGGGCAGCGTCCGCCTGCTGGGCCTGCAACCTCTGAACTTCAGTCACACGACTCAGCTGCTCCTCTTTCTCCCTAGAGAAGTTCCGAAAAGCTTCACAGTTCAAATATCAAAGCACCAGGCTTGGATGAAAGAACAATATGTAACCTGCTCTAAAGTAAAATTCAGGTTTCATTTTTTTGATCCAAATTCTGTAAAACTTCTCTTTAAAAAGTTGATATAATTTGTCCCAGGAGAAAAAGGCTAGAGACACATAATATGTGTTCTGATGAAGGCACAACTACTTTCAAAGATTTCCCTAAAAACAAAACTGTTTAAAAGCTATGCCTCTCCCTCAACTGATGACTGGATAGTGCAATGTGGTATTTCTGTACTGTGGAACATTATTCGGCCTTAAAAAGGAATGAAGTGCTGATGTATGCTACAACATGGATGACACTCAAAAACGTCATGCTGAGTGAAAGAAGCCAGTCACAAGAGGTCACATATTGTATTCTATTTATGTGAAATATCCAGAATAGATAAATCCATAGAGACAGAAAGTAGGTGAGTGGTTGCCAGGGGCTGAGAGGAGAGGGAATGGAGAACTGATTGCTAATATGTATGGTTTTTCTGTTTTTGTGAGATTGTTTTGTTTTGTTTTGTTTTGAAATGAAAACGGTCTGGAATTACATAGTTGCACATAATTGTGAATATACTAAAATCTACTAAACTGTATACTTTAAAAGGATAAATTTTGTAGTATGTGAATTATATCTCAATTTTTCAAAACAACTAATGTATCCATAGAAACCTCTCTAATATGCACGTGTAGCAGGAGCTGAGCTGCAGGATGACAGGTGCAACAGAACAACATGATAGCCTGGAATTACTCTACGGCCCTCTAGTAGACTTGCCTAAAAGAACTGTTAACCATCTCAGCTCTTCCTACCTTGAACTAAAATGATATAATCAAAAGGCTCCAACAGAAGAAGAGATACCTTTGCATGTTGATAAAAGAAAAAAAAATTAAGGTTTTAGATTATAAATACAAGAAAGTTAATGGCTAATACTGAGTTCTGGCTAGGTAGTGGGCACTGTGCAAAATATTTTATATGCCCTCTCTCATTTATTCTCACAGTAAACTTGTATGAGAGTATTATTATTATTATATCTCCCTACTTCTACAGAACAGGAAACTAGGGCTTAGAGAATATTTCCCAGGCTACACATCTATAATAGTAATGGATCAAGCCAGGGTTCCAGGCCTGGCTGTCTGCTTGGAGAGCTCATGTGATGGCTACTATGCTATGCTGCTTTCCTGATTTTCTAGATGCCATAATCTACGGTCTGAATATGTCCTCCCCAAAATGAGGTTACTACTCTATAAAAGGGGCTCCAGAGACATCCTTTGCCCCTTTACTATGTGAGGACATGCAAGAAGGCACTAGCTATGAACCAGGAAATGGGCCTGATCAGCACATGACCATGCCAGCGCCTTGACCCTGAACTTCCCAGCCTCCAGAACTATGAGAAATAAATTTCTGGTGTTTATAAGTTACCTGACCTGTGGTACTTTGGTATAGCCGCCTAAATAGATGGGGACATCATAAGTAAGATTAACTTGGCTCACCTTCCCAAATGGGAAAGCTTAAACATATATAAAATATTATATTATTATTAACTATAATACTGAAGAATGCTAAGGAATAGCATAATTTAACTCACACAAATCAAATTTTAGAGAAATATCATAATGAGGGAGAAAGACATGTCCCAAACAGTGATGCCACTGTCTTTTAAGATGTGGACAAAAAAGTAATTTGATGTCTTAGAAGTTACTCAGATCTTAGTTTAAAATCCCCTCTAAGACACTTAGTAATTTCTAGGCTTTCCAATGGGACATATATGTAATACAAAATATCAAAATACCAAACTCCCCGCCCCCCCCCCACCAATTGAAAACTTTTCTCAAAGCTTGAATGGCAAAAAGATAAGAAAAAGCGTCACTTAGTTTCCATGTCAGCAGGACAAAATGTAACAACGCGTATATAGATTAGAGTCCCCATCCACTGTGTTTGGACATGGAGTATCTGCAAATAAACAGCTCTCCGTGTGTGGTTTGGAAGAACACACTCTGTGCCCATCTTAACTTTTTTTTCATTGTAAGTATCACACGTGTCTATTTAGCTCTTTATATCCACCCACACATCCTTCTACCTAAAGATGACCATAATCAAGACATCTCTGTGATACACTAAGCAGTTTTTCCACTGAAATCCCTGTTCTTCTGTGTATCTGCTTCCCAGTTGTAGCCACTATTTTAATGGCCTACAGGGGTTAATACTCTGCCCCAAGGTGTGTGAGGCCCAAGAGAGCAAAGCCATCTCTAGTCACCCTGCATGCCAGGTGGCGCTCGCAGTTACTGCATTTTATGGCAAGGAGGCACAGGTTTCTAAAACTTTTTTAAAGATTTCCTTTAAGTTGTTCACTTTAGTTCACTATTTAACAGGAACCTGAATATCTTGTTCTCCATTTTTCTTACATGTGGTTAAAATAAAAATTTTTTTTTAATGATGCTTTTTTGCCACTTAATGTTAATAGTTCACAGACAGACAATGGTTATTTAATAAGTGGATGTCATACTGACGGCTGATTCAAGGGACATCATCACATAAAAGACTGCGCACTCTGATGGCAAAAGGGAATTTTCATTTGATCTGGTGCATTTTTACCCTTCTGACATTATTCTGCTCAAGAAGCAAGAAGCCTTGAGTTGTATGTCAGGTTTCCCGGAGACAAAGATTGATTATTTTGTCTGAATACTCAAATATTTGAATATTAAAATAGCATACGAAAACAACATAAATTCATATAAATTATATTGGGCACCACGGCCTACACCTAGGTTGGCAAATGTGATGGAGAAATGTCACAAATGTCTGATGGACACTTGCTCTGGTGTGATGGACCCAAATGGCCGGCAGGGGCTGCCTAGAGTTCTCTATTAGAAGGATTCTGAGACCAGGCTCAGGGGGAAAGGCAGAGGGAAAGGCTACTGCGCTTGATGAATAAATAATGTTCCCATCGCAGGGGTTGGGGTTGGGCAGCGCAAGAGCTACTTCCCTGCCCTGCTGTAGACTAGTTCATCCTGTGTCACTCTTTCATTGTTAAGGCCCTCCTAAAAGCGCTTAGGAAAACTGTTTCACCATCAAGATTTCAATTTTTCAAAAGTCTACTTTTGCTTGCTTGGTCTGTTTACAAATAGGAAAGAAAGTACATTAAACAATATTTGAAAACATGAAAATTTTATATATCATATGATTTTAAATTATGTACTATCAATTAGCCAAAAGAAAATTTTCCTAACACATTTTATAAACACACATGACTTGTGGCTGAAATATCAACTTTGTTCTATGAATATTAAAAGTCAGTTGTTTTACACTTTCTGTCCCAATAATTCACATGAGCTATTTAAACACTTCCAATTTAATGGGATGAACATTTTCTCTGTCATCTCATTCTTATCTACTAAGTTTAGTTCATTTACTTTATACCTATTTATGGCCACAAAAACCAAAGTCATAAGCCTAACCATAATCAGGTATATATCAGAGACCATATTAAAAATATTATTAAAATAAAACCTTGTGCAATGAGGCACATTGCTTTTAATTGATCATTTTGATCCTGATTTACAAATAGAAAATATTGTCCTATACACAACAGCCAGCATGGGGCAGTGGGTGAAGTCTCCCAACCAGTTTTTAGTCTCAGTACACCTGCTGAGTTAATTCAATGGTAAAGCTTCATGTCAAAGAAGGCCTTACTTAATGAAAACCAGTGTTCTTGTCCAGTTAAACTATGACAAAAATATTGAAGTCCACTAATGTTCAAGAATCTTCTGTCTTACTATAATGAAAATATCCATCTTAATTTAAATAGAGATGATGTTCATTTTAATGAAGGATCCATTTTCATTTCAATCAAAGTAATGAAACGCCAGTAAAGACTTTCAGAGTTTGAAAAAGAGAAAAATCTGCTCCTTACTATCATAAGCACAGTATTCCTTTTTATGATTCTGAATAGTGTGCCCTGTAAGAAACGTGACTTTGAAGATTATTTTTGTTCAGTGGAACTAGTTGTGGGGCCGAGTATAAATGCATCACTCAAATGCCTTAAAGCTGGGCCTCCATGAAGATAAAAAGGTGGGAAGAAGATTTGCTTTTCAGCTCTGATTTATTTATAAAATGCAGTAAATTTTCCTCATCTGAGTATATAAAGCACAAAGAAAAAGACGCTGCATTCTTACACAACCACAAGCCAGCTCAGATTAAACGATGTTCCGAAGTACACGATTATTCCAAGAAGGCAATAAAACGGAGGGGACTAATGGAGTACAATTTAGTATTTCTTGAGCTTTACAAGCTAACATTTATATGTACAGGCCAACCTTGATTTGAAAACCTTCCCTTTGCACATTTTTGTACCAGCACTTTTGATAATGATGGCAGAGAGCCAACTTATATTTATAAGGCTTCACATTACAGTATACTTCATTTGCTGCCAGCTTGGCATCTCCACTGGAAACTCCAAGAAAAACAAAACAAAACAAAAAACTTCAAACAAGTCTGAAAAACAGCTAGAAGAGTCTCCAGTCCCTTCCCAGCTGAGCTAGAAAACAGACTTTTAAGCAGCTATATCATCTGTGTTCATGGCTGCTTATCGGTACTTAAACTGATTAGAGTGAGTTAGTGAAAAACTTTAAGATACAGCTATAACTTAAAAGGGACTAAAAATAATACCTTTCACTAAGCATGGTAAGTGAATAAACTTCTTTCGCCTCTTCTTCACTTGACTGTTAAGACTGGTGATCTCTGCTAAATTCTTGTTAAAAAATGGTAAACACTATGGACATCTAAACACTTGCAACTTTAATTTCCATCCAGGAAAATGGAAATTAGTATTGGTCTTAATATTGGAAAAATGACAACACTCCTCAAATTGATCCACAGACTCAACACACTCCCTGTCAAAATCCCAGGTGGCGTTTTGAAGAAATTGACAAGCTGACTCTAAAATTCATATGTAA